GARWWTWWAAMAMAAGMRTCAGGCTATAACTGTCTGAGGGCAACCTATATCAGGGCCAGAAGAKATACCTTTAAAAGCCTTTTATTCACACCATTCAAGATGTTGCTGGATTAATAAATGAGTGATTGATGTATTTTTTTAGAGCGGATAAATAAATAAAAGAAAAAAATGGATAAATAAAATGAATGGAAGACAGACCTTCACACATGTTTCATCTTTCCCTCTCACAGCAGCAACTAAAACACTYTCCAACTCATTATTAGTGATTTTCATATCTGCACCAAATTGAATCAAAGTCTTCATGACCTTKGCATGACCTTGCAARGCAGCGAGGTAAAGAGGTGTCTCTCCGTTGTATGTTTTGGTATTTTTAAAATTATTTTCGCTGTGTTTTAGAAGTAGTTCAACACATTCATTGTGACCTGCACTTGCAGCTCGATGGATTGGAAACCAGCCTTGGTTATCGCAGACATCATGTGGGTGTCCTGAAGATTACATTGAACAGCAAAAATTTATAACTTAAAGGCTGGTCTGCCAGAGCGGGAGGGCCACAGATAGCCCAACATTAACTTTTTAAAATACACAATTGTTTAAATTCATAAAATCCAAGGTTAAAATGAATGCTGAATCACTCTTTCAATTACATAAGTCTTTATCCCGCGAATAAATCTATTAAAAATGTGCGGATTGGATAACTTTGGCGTGGATAAGCCGCGCTACAAGGACCGCTACAAGTCACGCTTACCATTTTCCAAACTATCTTGCAAAATKCTCGAATTTCCAAGAGCAGCTAGTCTTGCGACATTTGTAAGTGCGTCTTCATCTACTCTATTGAAGAAAACTTCTGCATTCGACGGGTTTTCATCGCTCATTTCAAAGGATTTTGGTTCGTGAGATCTTCTTTCAAACTTTCAAAATGTCTGAAAATGGATCTGAGAGGAGCCCTGGGTTCTACACAGGAAACCCATAAATGAAAATAATACAAGACRGATTTCCCAATTTTCGTTTCTTTCTGAATTTAATTGATTAACATTGAACTGATTAAATACAAGATAGCTTTATTCATAAGTTCGCGAAACAATTACACCTATGTATTTTTGCTTTGTCTGTGTACATCCAAAGGAAAAGTCGATAGGGAAGTCAATAGAGGGACGACTCTTCCATCTTTGTTGCTTTGAAAAAATATTCACGCCCTTACAGCACTTTTTATACTATATGAAACAGAAATGTAGCTGACTTCTTTTAGATAAATAGCCCCTTGTTTCTAGTAACCTTCGTCATTCAATGACTTAAAATCTAAGTATCTATRTAAATCTATAGCACACAAAGAAGCCAGTATCTTCATCAATTGGCAATCTCAATTTTCGGACAGTTAGGCAAAACTGTTTGCATCATTGTATACATGATATATCTTCCGTAGTGCTTCAAAAACTTCAGGAAATCTTGGAAAAGAGATCCTTTGCACTCTTGGGACTTTGACTCATAACATTTGAATATTCTTTGAACAACGTCGGTGGCCAAGCAAGCGTTGAGCTTGAGGTCGATAATCATGGCTTTTGCAAAGTATTGCGAGCACTCTTGGTTGGTCTTGATATCACACTGCGTCACTCCATCGGAATCTAAAAAGAACGTCGAAAATGGGCAATGTGCGCCGCGTCATATTTTATTGCAAAGCATGATGGGGGTCGAAGTCCTCCCACTTTTTATAGCACCTTATCAGCTCCTAAACTACCCCTCTTTGAATAAAACGATACAACTATTTCTATTTTTGGAAGAAAAAAAAAACGACATGGAAAATTGAGATTGATTACAACTCGCATCATGCTTTGCTATACAAAATGGCGTCGATTTTTGTAAATCAGAGATGTCCGAAGAATTTCATAAATGAAGATTATGGTTGATGTACTTATGGAAATGCAAATAGTTAGGCCTTGAGCATGTTGAGTCATGGCATACGTACCAACATTTGCCAACTTCGTGTCAGTGATGACGTTCTCTGGTAGGTTGGCTAGAAAATGAAGAGAAAAAACGGCAAAGATTTTTCCAAACAGTTATATAAAGACAAGTGCAAAAATCTAATCAGATAACCGGRAAACACATCTTGCGTGATGAATGTTTGTATATGGTTTTAGCATCAGATCCTATAATTCAATATATCGGCTCATACATTATCGATATAATTCACATATCAAAGAATTGTATATCATTCGTGCGGGTTCCCTGTGCTTTTTAGTTTTGGGCTTCCTTTAGCAAATCCATGCCATATATAGAAACAAACAAAATGGCGGATTGTTTAGAAGTGTTTTCGCTATAATATCTGCAAGTTTCCGACGATTTCAAGCTTTAAAAGTCGAGAAAATCGACAAAAACCATTCCTATCGAACTTCCAAATAAGGTAAGATTACCATATATGGCTGCTAAACGAAGGATAACTTTGTGGGGGCAATTGTTTGATAATTGATTGGAACTTATCATAAAAGACCAAACCTTTGACYAAACTTTTAAGTTTRTTTATMGAATKTCCCCCGRAGCAAACRCTTGTCTTGTGGTTGATAATCATGTGTTCTGCGATTCCTGTTCGTAGTAAATCTATTTCTTGGCCACTGCAGAGCTTGGAGTCTTCACTCAAGCAGTCTCCTAAACCCTTTATCACAAACAAACCAAAAAGTTAGAGTAGTCTTAATAAGCTCATGTTGCTGTTTTAGATGATACATGACTTAGAGGCTCTTGAATTGTTTGTGCAGATCGAAAGAGGATTCGGAAATTACTTTTTTCCAGATACGTTAACAGGTGCACAAATACCGCCACCAATAAACAAAAAAATTCGAATTGCCCTAGTTCATTATGACGTCACATCAAAACATTCTATTGTTTTAACGCTAAGAATTATGGTCGCCAGAAGGGATCAGAGTGTATCAAATAAAATTATACATGAGCAATCATTTATACATGATATATATCAAAACACGATTCACTGAAGTTCTACTTTAGTCGACAATATAAATGGGTCCAAATTTCCGCTGTTTTTGAGCATCGTTATCCGATGTAAACATGCTGTGACGTCATAATGAAATAGGGCAATTCTTATAGCACAGCCAGCATGAGAAGCTCTTTCACATTTGAAATAAAATGGTCTTCATATAATTTGTGTTTTTTTTAATTTTCAGCGATTTTAATTTTTTAACGGTGCCATACACTCGTGAAACTCATGCGATTAAAACTAACAATGAACACCAAGTCAAACGTTGACAGGGTAATAAAAGATTTATACAGGTATTGAACTTTGATATATGTAATGTGAAATGTTTAAAAGCTAAGACTTTTTTGAAAACAAACATCTTTTATTTACTTTATTTAGTTTCCCAAAAGAGTGGAAATGTTTTGATTAATAAGTGTGATTTTTGCAATGCAAACTTTTAAGCCAAGTTGCTTCTAATACGAAAAAATGAATGCTAAAATATAAAAAAATGATTCGTTATTTCAGGGCATTGATCACTTGGAAGGTTGAGAGGCGTCATGAGAGGCATTGAGAGGCGTGATCTAAAACTGATAAGGATTTATCCAGTGGATTATAAATCATACGCTGAAAAATTATTATCAATCGTCTATGTATTGTATAAAACATAGTTATTGTCTCGTTGTCTCAAGAAACTTCGGGGTCTTCGTTCCGTTATTATGTCATTACTCACCTCAAAAGCTCTGCAGAAGACCGACATGCTATCTGCGTTGGCATTAGATTGTGTCATTGTAGAAATGAAACCTTTGAAGCAAAATGAAAGAAATTCCTTCTCGCAGTCTTTCAACTTGTACACATTTGGACGGACCTTTCCAGAGAAGATTATTAAGACCAAGAGAAGAAAAATTGCTTTGGAAAACATATCGACCGAAGCAAAGTTATTTCGTTGGATAAACCCGAGCTATTTCCTTCATTAAATTGATCTGACCATAACAGAGAAATAATGATGGTCTTATAACGAAATAAATAGAATTATCTGTAACTTTTGCTGGAAAACAACCTGGCCAACCTGGCTGCTATGGTTAAACCAACCCAACAGGTTTCAAAAACCGGTTTTTAKCGTGAATTGAGAAGTTCAAATCTTTTTAATTGGTTGAACAGTTGTTGCAATCTGTTGCGTGTCATATACCTTTTTTGTTTACTTCTTTCATTCAGAAAACAACGGTACTCTTAGGACTTTTACTTTTTTTCGTGCTATAGATAGTGGCAATTTTCACTCCAAAGGRAGCCTGAGTAATAATAGTCGTTGTTGGGTTACCTGTGTTTAATAGAGACAGGAAGTATTGGAACGCCTTGCAGAAAACCAGCCATCGAATTCTACGAAGTGGAACGTAGCGAAAGCTGAACACTAACTTCGTTTTATATCGCGTCGAGTTTCTTAACGTTTACTTCTACTATTGGATATCATAAGTTGCTGGAAGAAACATGGAATCCTCCAACTGGCAAACTAAACTGTCTTCTGTCAGAGAACGTACTCAATACGCGTTCAAMAARTCCTTGTTCTGCGATGTCAAGTTCACCGTGGTARACTCGCTTAATGGTGGTAAAGTCACTGTTCCAGCCAACAAGTACATGCTAGCCGTCAGCAGTCCTGTYTTTGAAGCCATGTTTTACGGTAATCTCGCAGAAAAGMRAGATAYSATYGACCTACCAGACTGCACCAAGGAAGGACTACAAGAATTGCTTCGYTTTGTGCACTCGGATGAAGTGAACTTGACCGGAAATAACGTRATGGAAGTACTTTACATTGCAAACAAGTATGATATGCCATTTCTTGCCATGAAATGTAGAGAGTACCTTAAAGAATACCTGAAGGCTGAAGAAGTGTTTACTGTTCTTCCTCAAGTGCAAAAACTCGGTGATAAAGAGCTTGAAGAATATTGCTGGAAAGTTATTGACAACAAGACCCACCTCGCAATGCCATCAAAACCATTCTTCAAAGTATCTCGAGAAATTCTGTCCCAAGTCTTAGTTCGAGACTCTTTGAAAATCGATGAGGTGGAGATCTTTCAAGCTGTAGATAAATGGGCTGCAAAAAAGATTGAAAAAGAAGGATTAGAGAGCACTGGAGATTCTAAACGAGCCATTCTTGGAGAAGATATCATCAGACTTATTAGATTTCCTTTGATGTCGCAGGATGAATTTGCTGAAGTGGTGCTTCCTTGTGAAATTCTAAAAAGGTGCGAACTTACGGAGTTGTTTCAAATCTTTAGCAAACTTACTCCGTCAACCAGTATGTTTTGTGAAAGGAGTCGAAAAGGAAGAGAACTAAAATTGACAAATAATCGTTTTGATTGCTCGAATATTCATCGTCGATTTTTTTCGAAGTCCTACGATGGCATCAAATGTGATGCAATCAGCTTCACTGTGAACAAAGACGTCATTCTAATGGGTGTACAAATGTTTGGCGAGAAAGAATCAGCCTATAAAATTAAATTGGAAATCTTAAATGGTGATCAAATCATTTCAAGTCAATCTTCATCGTATGGTAGTGAATTGAATGATAGATATTATTTCACTGCCAAGCTTGATAAGCCAGTCACATTAAAACCAAATGTCTTATATACCATATCGGCTGTTATTAAAGGACCGCCTACTCCTTTTGGTGCTGGTGGTAAAGAGGTGATACATAACGATGGCGATTTAAAAATAACATTTAAAAACTCTGATCGGTCTACCAATGGAACAACTGTTGAACAGGGGCAGTTTCCAARACTTCTTCTGAAGTACTAACTTTATAGAATTGATGATTAATTGACTTCAAATTTATTGCCACCGCATGATTTCAAACGGTGGGAGAATGAGTACAAGCTCCTTCAGAGAGATASCAGTCTCTTATAAGACGGACGACCGTCTGGAGATTGGAAATAATCGTCATAATTAGTGTGCAAAATATTCGAAAAGTTGTAGCCTCGTTGCATTTCGGGAATTATCAAAAACATCGAAGATAATACCAGATGTAACGCGCCTAGTAAAGCTGCTGACCAATCAAATTACAATGCTTGAATGATTGATTAACAGCATATATAGGAAGACTCTCTTAGAAACATAGTTGTGACCCCTCCCTCCTCATGATTACATTCAGTACCCAGCATTCAGTGGGCAGGTCAGCGTTGAACCATTGTCAACAGATGTGAGCGATTCTGAARTTGAGAGACTGTGGTTCCAACGTCGACTGAGTGTCACATTGATAATAATGTGCATACAGTACAGATTGTAGCTACGTGAAAGTGTGCGACACTAAAGTTTTCCACAGGGATCCTTTTTACTCGTGACCAGGCCCTTGGCCGGGTCACGAGTCAGAAAATGCAGCGAGTTTAGTTTTGTTTTTTTTTTTCTATGTGAGACCTTTGTCTTCGGGCTGACCTTTGCGTCCCGAATGCATATCACATTGCGAACTCGGGTGTACCTTTGTCCCCGATCGCACTCCGATCTCTAAACGAAATATCACATTACGAACTCGGCTGTAAACAAGCGTATCATAGAACAGCAAAACTGCTCGGGATTTACTGTATCTTTTAAACTAACGAGATATAAATCAATACTTCGTAGATAAATGAAGCCCGCGGATGTCTCATACAGCGCGCAATCGCACGAAACTCAGAATTATCGACTCTTCAAGTCAAACAACTCTTCAAGTCTGCCGCTTATATTACTCATCTGAGTATTTGGGATAGCGGAAAGTTTTCTGTTAAAGGCGAAGAGATCTCAAGCCCGATCGACAGCTCTTCTAGATATGAACTACTCTAAACATTCGTGTCATAGAACAACAATATCTGCCGGGGATTTACTGTAGTTTTTTTAGTAATTCTTTGATGTTCGAGGCCTTTTTGTATTCAAAAACATTCATCTGTGTAAGAGCATGTATTAGGACATTGGTTTAGGTCATAAAGGTTGGTGTATCGAGYCAAATGAGTTTATTTTCCTTGGCGAGATATAAACCGATACTTCGTAGCTGACTACGTGGCTGTCTGATTCTGAATTGCATAGCCTATTTTCTAATTTGATGAGGGATTCTGTCTCKTCTGGTTAAAGAAAACAATGCTATTCACAGATGAGTATTCCTACTGAAGATCATTGAAGTGAGTGCATGGTTATAGAGGACCATAGAGCGGGGCATTCCTGTTTGCGAAGATCGCTCGCCACACGGCGCCGAGCTGTCTGATTTTGATACTGTAGTATACTTGACCTTTAAATTACTGCAATATTCTTACTATGTTTCACGCGAAAGACTATCAGAGTTAACGATTTGATTCTACGCTTTTAAAGATTTGTCAAAAATTATTGCATATCTAGTTCCTTCAAAAGCTGCTAAATATTACATGAAAAGTAATAAACAAAACAAGGAATTACTTTCACAAATTTTTTCTTTTAATATAGTTTGATTTCAAATCACTTTGTGATTTATCAGTATAGATGAACTGCATGCCTTTGGTAGCACTATTCTTTACATCTAAACCAGTAGACCCTCCTTAGAGCGTCAACTCGGTCAAACTATTTTTGAAAATTGAGGAAGACAGTATATTACATGCCCCTGGTGGTTGGTCAAACACAAGTTTTAAATGAGCTCATTTTGAATAAGTACGKAGCACTTTTCAACACCTTTAGGGCACGAGTACACCCTGCTGTCAGGGTCTAGTTTATCTTAATCATGAAAAATAAGGTGTCATTAACTAATAGAAATTTGTTTTYATATTGAGTGAGTAATTAAAATAGGTTAAGGAGCCTCTTATAAATTAATTGTTCAGTACGATTGTTATCTCATCGAGACGGGTTCTAGTTCTTGACCTAGTTGAGTTGTCTATGGCGATTTGGAAATAACTTTCAAAGAGTCTAATCGGTCTACCAATTACACAGATGTCAGATCTGGTCAGTTTCCAAGCCTTTTTTTCCGCTTTGCTCAAGGGACATCTTCGTTCTACTCGTTTCCAAATATGTGTATCGTGTTCTGATTTCAACAAAACGTGGTATGAAGATACTGTATACATTTTTAAGTATTGTCAATATAACGTTAGATTTTCATAGCGACTTCATAAATGAATATTCAGGCCCGTAGGCGCTGATTCAACAAGTCTGTTGTTTAAATATTGTGACGCAATAAACATGCAAAGAATAAATTGATTCCCCTTAGAGACTTACAAAACTGAAGCAAGAATTGATTAAGATTTCACACAAAGCACTTGAACCATAAAGGCATCTTTTGCACTAACTAAAGGCTACTGCCGGTCAGCACTAAGAAAATATACAGATATGTATTAGAGGCTATTTACAACCAAATTGATAATATTGTGTTCGTATTACCGTATCTTATAATTTTTATCATGTTTATGCATGTTAACAAAGTTTAGACATTAAAAAATGAGAACTTTCACAACGCGAAATTGAAATTATATTATAACAATGAACAGAGAATGGGCATAGAAATAATTTTGTTTTGTGATCAGTAATAACCTCTTTTGCTCTTCTCAACTCTGTTCAAACACAAGGAGACATGCAGCTAGGTGCAGCTCCGGCTCTTTTTGTCTTCTCTTCTTCCTCTCTCTGAGTCTCTCTTCTATTCTAAGCCAACAAGTTGATTGGGCGACACCTTCTCAGGATAAATAAATACAGTTGACTCTCTTTGAACGACCACTCTCGTAAGCGACCGTATCCCGTATGCGACCACTTTTTAAATTTCCCATTATAATTGTTTCCTATATAAACTCTGTAAAAAAAACCTCTCTCGTAAGCGACCATCTCTCGTAAGCGACCAGTTAATTTTTCCTGATTCCGAGGTGGTCGCTTACGAGAGAGTTGACTGTAACTGTTCTTGTGCGAATTACTTCCTGACTTTCTCCCTGACAACCGGTTGTTACGTAACATCCTTTTATAGTATTTAAGAAACATCATTAATCATCTCTCAAGCCCACAATTGTTGCCAATCTTACGTACCTGGTCATGTCTTTCTCTGTCGTGCTCTCATTTGGTACCATTGCCTGGAAGAACCTTTCTGGCCTTCTCCTATAATGATTTTATTTGGTCATTTATTTTTTCCAAGAGGAACGCTTCCTAGTCATTTTGTACTATGACACGCCCCCCATTTGGTACCCGTTCGTCCAAGAATAGTTTGTCCTTGTCATGTAATCCTCTACCTTGAACTCATTTCGTAAAAATCAAAAGTACTGCTATGGAAAATTACCGTACCTTTATGGGCTTACGTGCTTTGTAATATTCACAATGTTGATATGTTCATGGAAATTCCTGGTAATACGTTTATAGGCGGATCTTTGTTTACAAAATTTTGCTAATTAGCATAAAGTTTAAATTAAAGAAAACTGTCAAATAAGTTTATAATGTAAAAGGGCTTATTAAGAGCTATAAACTACGAAAGTTTGAGGTCATTACATGGAATAGTTTATAAGATATTAGCGTTCAAAGATGCTGAGTGGCAAAAGCGCTAATTAGCTCATATAATCTCTCTAAAAATTTGAGTTTTTTAAACCGTTTTACGCAAGAAGTATTTCATGTGAGAAGCTCAAATTTGCGTGGAAAGCTTATTGTGCTATGTTGTTTCAATATTCAGTGCTGATTTTCTGATAGTTAGGTTAAAACGTTATATCCTTATGCTAATGATATGTTAATGAACCGAAATGTAAACAAATTATTCGCCTATACATCATGAAACTATGAGAATAATAATATGATCATGAAAACCTTACAAGGATGAGATGTACTTAGTCCCACCATGCAGTAGTGAACAGGTGAATTTCACGAATTCTGGTACAACACGTGTTTGCCACGCCCTAATGTCGGTGCCAGATTTATATVAAGAAGAAAAATGACAAATGTGGAATTTCTTTTGTTAAGGTAGCGATATATAAGAAGACTGATCACTGAAAATTCCGTTTTTACCCATAGAAAGAAAAATCAGCACTAGCAAGGTAAGATGTCTTAATAATTCGCAGTAGTATATAATATATTGTTCATTTACGACTTTGGGGACTTTTTTAACTGGAACGGCTTCTTTGTATTGATAAAAATGTTAATAACTTTATTAATAAAATTGATTTGCAATCCAGGGGATGGAAAAACTTAATTATAGATATGTTTACAAGAATAGTAGTCTAGGAGACTTATAAAACAATTTGGTGTTTCTTAGTGCAACTTTGAAATTGAGCGAGGAAGAATCCGTTTTTTTGACAAATTAGGATATAATTGAAGTCACAAAAARTTGCTTTATTACCTGAATTGACCTAAAATAATGTAATTCATGTTGAATTCATGTTAAATATACTGGGTTCTTATAGTAAACCACCACAGTTTTGTTTTATTATATAACACATTTTCTCATAATCTTTTGGGATTTCCCTTTTTTTTGTTTGCAGTTCCCAAATAGCTATGAATTGTTCGAGCAAGGTTTTTCTTGTTATTGTACTTTTCTTGATGCTCCAGTTTCATTCAAGCMTTTCAAGGACGGCTAAAGATGTAAGCTTATAAGCTAATTATGATAATGAATATGATAGATAACCTCGACTCTGTTCTTTTCGCTKGTCAGTACAACATTTCTTGTCTTCTTTTTAACTCAATCATCCGACTTCTGAATAGCCTGTTTCATTCGATTTGCCACAGCACATATCATCCCTACTTTTGCTCTCTTTTCCTTCATTCTCTCTCTATAGTCTCTCAGACTTCACTGTCAACATCTTTCTTGTTGTCTTCGGAATAACCTTATCCAAGATCATTTTGAGATCTTTTCTTCTCTCTGTAGTCTCTCTTCTCACCTCCTGGTTTGCTTTTAGAACTTCTGTAAACACTACAATATCTTGAAATTCACTTACTCAACTGATTAAACATCTTTCTCGTTGTGATTCGGTTTGAAATAAACTTCTCCAATCATTTTGAGATCTTCTTCTCTCTGTGGTCTCTCTTCTCGCCTCCTGGTTTGCTTTTAGAACTTCTGCAAACACTACAATATCTTGAAATTCACTTACTCAACTGATTAAACATCTTTCTCGTTGTATTCGGTTTGAAATATAAACTTCTCCAATCATTTTGATATCTTCTTCTCTCTGTAGTCTCTCTTCTCACCTCCTGGTTTGCTTTTAGAACTTCTGTAAACACGACAATATCTTGAAATTCACTTACTCAACTGATTAAACATCGTTCTCGTTGTATTCGGTTTGAAATAAACTTCTCCAATCATTTTGAGATCTCCTTCTCTCTCTAGTCATTTCTCTCGTCGTCTCACTAGATCATCATGTCAGTTTGCACTTCTTTTAAACACTTCCATAGTATTGAAATTCACTGACATTTAATGGCTATCTTAATGCCTTTAAGAAACATCAGAAARTGAAGCCAAAAGTCAAAGATCCATTCATTCCGCGACCAAGAATAACGGAAATCAAGTGCTCCACAGATAAGGACTGTAAACGAAAATTGGATGGTTACGTTTTCTGCAGATATCACTATTGTTGGGATGTTCCATATTAACAATGCATTACTATAATTATTATGCTAAGTTGTATCGAAAAACCATGGCAAATATTGTAAATTGATAATNNNAATATTTACGAGATCTATAATAGAGATTACCTCAATATTGCTGGATATGAATATGAAATGCTATGAAAAGTACCAAAATTTATGAATTCGTTCCTGAAGTTTCAAGTGAAATTCGAGATATTGACACTCAATTTGCGCTTATTTACAAACGATTTACCACAATTGGTTATTTCTGYTATTTCTGCAAATTTCAAGGCACAAAATAAACTGTTATTTTCAACGGCAATTTTAAAAGATGGATTTTCACTGTTTGTGAAATCAGCAACTGAATATGAACRTCGTGATAAACATATTTCGCTTCATACATGGACTACTGTAACAATAATTAACAAAAAAATTCTTTGTACTGTTGAATCACTTGAACCGATCAAATATCGACAAAAACGCAAATGTTAGACCTCTTAGTTTCAAATACTTGTAAAAAAAAAGAAAACACAAAAAACTTGTAATGGGAGCTGTTGTACTAACACAATGTTATAGTTGAGAAGGCTCTACCTTTGTCCCGCGACCATACTACAGAACTTTGCTACATCACGCTGACCATAGCACGTGGCTTGGTATTGATTGAACCCCAGGATCAAACTCAAGTATCAACRTACAAAAAGTTATATCATTCAAGTTGGATCTTCAGTACCGCTCCAGTCAAAGTAAGCCCACGCCTCACAGAAAACTTCAATAACTTCTACGGAGACAGACATCACCTGTGTGGCACTATGCTTCGCCATTATTAACACAGATCTTTTTGCAACTTCTTATACACGCCACGCCATGGTAAATCAATAAACTTTGCACGATATCGTTAAGGAACGTGGCAAGAGCCTTGATTTGGAATGCAGTACACAATGTACTCAAGTAAGAATAGCGCTCTACATCAATAATGCGAAATGCATGATGGAACAACCACAACCAAAAGAACACTTATGAACTTTCGTTAAGTGTATTCTACACAACCCTTTGCCCACTACTWTTGTCCGGATGACCTGGATTGTAACAGATCTTCCGCCATGCTTACAGACCAACCAAAATGGCCGAMCTATATCACAACAACCCACAGGAAGCCCACAAGACCACAGGACCCCCAAGACAAGAAAGGACAGTCTGAACACTAAATATCTCCTGACGAACCATATTTTTCTTTTTTTTTCAAATTTTACTCAAAGACATTTTCGAAACAACATGATAGAATTTTTATAGGTCAATTTTCGAGTTTTAACGTGCCTTTTCTAGTTTACAAAAAAAAACACTTCCGGCGGCTACTCGACTAGCCCAAATTTCTATAATTTTTTGAATCCACCCAAAACACGGTTAATTTTCTTTTTAATTACTTGGAATTTTAGAACCGGAATTTATATTTACTCGTATTTTGTTTTCCACTTTGAAGGAAGGCCAATTGGTACACGCAACTTAAATTTTTAGGAAATTCTGTTTTAAATCAATGTTATCATGATCATTTTGCAATCATTGTTTAGAATACGCACATTGATGTTGCATGTACCTCATTCTTGAAAGCCATTAACATGCTTCTTAAAACATTTTAGTTGTTTTTTTACTCGCCAGGAGGCTCGAATCTAAGGAGGGAGGCATGTTAAGGGACAGAAAATTCCACATATATTTTTATATCTTTTTCAATGTTTTTATTACGGAAATTACTCAATAATTATTAACAAAGGTTTGCGCATGTATTTTGTACGATATACAAGCCCGCGTTATTTTCAAAGGCAAGATACAACAGGTCAGTCATATGATTGTCTCTTGAGCACGTACACCTACGGTCAAAGTTGTGTAACCTCGTGTTAGGTTATGGCGTGTACGACTCTTAACCCCCCGATGTTTATTAAGTTAATCGCGTATTTAAATATCGGTCTAAGTC